CTGCATCGCTAGTCCCATCCAGATCGGAAGCTCAGGACAGGGTGTTTCCTTTTGTTTCTGCCGACCTTGTCACCCCCACCACCACCACCACCACCTTGTGTGCTTGGAAAGTAAGAACCAACCATGAGTGGCCATCGTCCTGCTGACGGTGATGTCAGCCATTTCTCCCTAAGTGCCTCTCTCCTTCCTGACCTTTGCTCCAAGGCAATTAAGAAAAGCAATGAGATCATGAAACCTCACTTTTGATCAATGCGTTCCGGTCGGGAGACCCTGTTGTGCTTACGGCACGTCTATAATTAGATTCTAGGGCTTGGAATTTGGACGGCTGTATCAAGTAGGGAAAAAAAGCAGTTTTTTTTTTTTTTTGAGATAGTCTCACTCTTTAATGAGGCCTAGGCTGGCCTTGAACTCTCAATCTTCCTGCCTCCACTCCCGAGTGCTGGGATTACAGGCGTGCACCACTACAACCCTACACCACCAGCTTGGTATTTCAGAAGGAACTGGAGGGATGTGAAGCAGTGAGCAGAGTGAGTCAGAAGGCAAAGCATTCCTCCTGATCTCTGCCTCCTGAGTAGCTGGGATTACAGGCGTGAGCCACCAGCGCCTGGCGAGTTTGCCACTTAGATACTTCATATTAACACAACACAGGTGTCTCACTTAGCATGTTTTTAAGCTCTGTCCACGTCACCTGGCTCCTGTCATCAGTCTCACTGTGGGTTTGATCATCGGGGAGGCATTGTCTTCTTCACTGTGCATTTGTAAATCTCCCTTGGAGAAATGGGCATCTCAGGGCCTGGTCCATTTTTAAACTGGTTTTCCCCTTGATTTGCAGGTGTTCTTTATTTTGGATAGCAAACCCTTACAGGACATATGATTCACAGACATTTTTTCTTTGGTTTAGCTTTCCATTTTCTTCACAATGTGTTTTGGTGTACAAACTTAATTTTTCAATGACAACTAATTTATCTGTCTTTTGTTTTTGTGCTTTTAATCACATCTTAAGAATCCATTGCCACATTCTCAGTGATAGAGATTTACCTCTGTGTCTTGGTCAGATGGCTTTTGGATTTAATTCCTGTTTGAGGCGTTGAGCCATTTTAATTTTTGTACACGATGTGAGCCAAGAATGCAACCTCGCTCATTTGCATGAGGAATCTCAGTTGCCGGGTCCCATCTGGCGCTCTCAATTCGACTGGTCTACGTCTGTCCTTAACCACTGTCACAACGGCTTGGTTACTGTAGTGTTTAGTAAGGTTTTTTTGTTTTTTCTTTTGGGTGGCACTGGGGTTTGAACTCAGAGCCTCACACTTGCTATGCAGGTGCTCTACCGCTTAAGCCACTCCACCAGCCCTAGTTTGTGTTGTTCTTTTTCAAGATAGGGTCTCTCAAACTATTTGCCCGGACTGGCCTCAAACCTCAATCCTCTGGATCTCTGCCTCCTGCATAGCTGGGATTACAGGCATGAGCCACCAGTGTCTGGCTGTAGTAGGTTTTAAATTGGGAAGCGTGGCACTTCAACTTTTTCTTTTCCAAGACTGTTTTGTGTCCCTTGCAATGCCATATAAGTTTGATAATTGACTTTTCCTTTCCTGCTGACTCTCCCCGGAATTGTGATAGAGGTCGCATTGGCTCTGTAGACTGCGTGGATCTTGACAAAGTACGTGAACACCGGCTGGCTTTACGTTTACTCACTGTCTTTAAATCCCTTCAGCAATGTTTTGTAGCTTTCCGGATTCAGGTCTTTCACCTCCTTGGCTAATCTTATCCCTATCTTGTTCTTTTAGTTGCTATTGTGAGTGGGATGGCTTAATTTATATACAGATTTTTGGTGACAATGGGGTTTGAACTCAGGGCCTCGGGCTTGCAAAGGCTCCAGGCCTCTTGTCTTCTTTCTGATCTAAGGGGGACATTTTTAAGTCTTTCATCGTTATGGGTTCACCTGTGGGTTCTCCACAAATGCTTTGCGTCGTGTTGAAGACGTACCCTGTGCTGAGCACCTCTCCCTCGTCCACTGAGCTAACGTGAGTCCCCGCTTTGTTCTAACGACGCAACTTGACGTTCTTAAGCTGGACTGTGCTCCCGGGGCCGGAGGCGCTTTCATGTTCTGATTTGTTAGGCAGTGCTGGGGTTTGAACTCAGGGCCAGCGGCCGCTGCACCAGCGGTGTTTTCACTTCATCCCTCTCCCGGGTGTGTAGACTCAGCGTGAATAAATTTGCAGCTCCTTTCCTGTGCTCGCGGTCCGTGTGCAAGATCTCTACAAACTCTGAGTCAAGTCTCACCGCGCCCTCCCGCCCCTGGGCTGGCCTTCATCTCGATGGTCATGACGTTTGACAAGCACGTTTTCACGTCCACTTCGGGGGCTTCTCCCTTTTACGGTTTGTGCATTTTTGTTCTGAGTGAGAATTCTGTTTGCTCAAACTTACCAGAAGCTTCTCGTGCTTTCTCCTAGCTGTGCTATAGCATTAGGCTTTGCGTTTAAACTCATTTACTCCAGGTTAATTCATGTTCATTTACTTCCCAACTGGATATACAATTTTTCCAGCTTTTTTTTTTTTTGGCAGCACTGGGGTTTGAACTCAGGGCCTCACTCTTGCCAGACAGGCGCTCTTACCGCTTGAGCCACGCCACCTCCAGCACGACTTCTGGAAAAGACTTCCATTTTCCCCCGACCTGCCCTGGCTCCTCTGCAGGTCACTGGACGTGTACGTGCAGGCCGCCCTGCCACCACACGACGTGCGGACGGGAAATGCGGCTGCTGCAGCTGAACAAGTGAGCCGGCCCCTCCCTGCCCTTGTTCCTCTGAGAGCTCTGGTGGCGGATGCACCCTCTAAGAGACGTCAGGGCTTTTCTTGAAGTCATAATCTAAAACCAAACTGTTAACTCCTAAAAACTGCTGCAATCTCAATTAGAATTGTGTCAGATCTGTGAACTGATCTGGTGCTGATTTCTTAACAGCACCCCAACCGCGAACAGACTACATCTCTCACTGTGTTCAGCGTTCCGTCAGCACGTTTTGTTTGGTTTTTTTAAATCAATTTCAGTGCACGTTTTGCCGGTATTGTGTTAACCTTGTTAGTTTGATTTTTTTTGAGACAGGGTCTTACTGTGTAGTAGCCCAGGCTGACCTGTAACTCTTGATCCTTCTGCCTCACCTCCCACGTGCTGGGATTATAGGTGTGTACCACCACAGCTGACTGCATTTCATGCTTCTGACACTGCTATAAGCAAAATGAATTTTTATTCATAAATTTATGAATTTAAATTTTTTATTTTAAAAAAAAATAAAAAAAATTTTATTTTTAAAATTTTTTATTTTTTTTATTCATAAATTTAAACTGTCCACTGACAGTTTGCAGAAATCCTGTTGAGTTTTTGTATTCTGATCTTGCATCTTGTGACCATAAGTAGCAATTTGTAGATGCTGTGGGATCTCTTTACAGGCAATTATGTCATTTGCAAAAGGTCTTTCTTCCTTTTTTCCTTGCTATAGGATCTCCAGTACAATGTCAAATAGACATTGTCCGGATCTCAGGAAGAAAAGCATTTTGTCTTATTCCATTAAGTAGCATTAGATGTGGGTTTTCATAATTGCTCTTTATTGGGTTAAGGAAGCCCATATCTAGCTCCGTGTGCCGAGTTTTTTTGTGTGGATTTAATGCATATTTGCTGATATGGTTATAGGGATTTTATTTTAGTTTGTTGGAATGAATTATACTGAATACATTTTAAATATTAAGCCCACTCTCTTCCTATGATACATTTCATTTGGTCATTGTAGGGTATAACACCTTTCATATATTTTTAGAATTGACCTATTTTATTCAAAATTTTTGTATCTAAGTTCATCAGTGATACTGGTCCCAGTGTGGTACTTTTTTTTGTCTTTGTCTTGTTTTGGTGTCAAATACTGTTTCAAAAATGGATTAGCAGGTATTCTTTTTCTGAAGGAGTGTGTTGTAGGGTGAGTTCTGTTTCCTAAACAACTGGTGAGGCTTCTCAGACTGGAGTTTTCCTTGTTGGAAGATTTTCAGTCTGGGGCAATTCAGACTTTCAGTTCTGTGTGCGTGTACATGTGCGTTTGTGTGCAGATAGGTGTGTATTTGTGGTGGGGACAGAACCCAGCGCACTGGACCTTCTAGGCGGTGCTCCACCGCTGCACTGCCTCCCTGGCCCCAGACTTCCAGTTCTGAGGAAGGCTCTGGCAGAGACCCGCCACTGCCGCACTGTCAGCCCCACGCGCGGCTGTGGGGAAGGAGTCCCGTCCCGATTCCCATGGAGGTGCTGTGCAGATGACCTGGACAGAAACTCACATTGTGAACCAGGCATGGCATGACAGGAAGAACAACCTGAGGTTGCCAGTCCCACAGGTAGCATGTGCCCCAATTTTTTTTTCGGTGCTGGGATTTGAACTCAGGCACCTTGAGCCACGCCACGAGCCCTTTTCTGTGATGAGTTTTCTGAGATAGGGTCTCATGAACTATTTGCTGGGGCTGACTTTGAACTGCGATCCTCCCGAGTACCTAGGATTGCAGATGTGCGCACTGATGCCTGGCGTCTTTTATGTATCTCTTTGCACATACATTTCCCTTAACAGATTTTTTTTTTTTTTTTGGTGGGAGGCAGGACTGGGGTTTGAACTCAGGGCCTCATGCTTGCTAGGCAGGCGCTGTATCACTACAGCCAGGCCCCCAACCCCAAATACTGAGTTTTTAAGCTGGTGCCATTTGTTGTTTCTGGAGCCACACAGGCACCGCATGTCTGTTGAGGCTCAGATGGCAACACACACACCAGAACTTCTGCACCAACTCTGGGGTCACAGGCAGAGCTGAGAACTGACCTTGGGGTCACAGGCAGAGCTGGTCATTTGTTTTTTTTTTTGCGGAAGTGGGGCTGGAACACAGGGCCTTCATCTTGAGCCATTCCACCAGCCCTATTTTTTTTTTTTTTTTTTGTGTGAAGGGTCTTTCGAGATAGGGTCTCGCCAACTATTTGCCTGGTCTGGCTTCGAACTGCAATCCTCCTGATCTCTGCCTCCTCAGTAGGTAGGATTAGAGGCGTGAGCCACCAGCACCCAGCAGAGCTGGTCATCTTTGACCAGCAAGCAGAGATGACCACAGGCACGCCATTTCTCAGTCGCCTAAACCTAGGGAGGTTCAAGTAGTGGTAGAATCCCCCAAGAAAAGTTTAACTCACTGTAGCCTTCTTTCCTTCTTTTTAGTTTAAGTCAGGGTCTTGCTGTGTAAGACAGCTCGCCTCAAACGCATGGTCCTCCCGCCTCAGCCTCCTGAGTAGCCGGGATTATAAGCAGGCACCGCAGTTCCCGCTCACTGTAGCTTTCAGAGGCTCAGTGCATGAGGCTCAGTAAATTCTTTTCTTTGAGATTAAGACAGAAGATGACACACTAGAGTCTGTGACATCAATCCTAGAATATCTCATTCTTGAAATGAAGGCAACATGATAGAATAGAAAGTATAATGGAGCTGGGATTTATAAGATCTGGACTTCAGGGATATGTATTTACTGAGTTAAGCACTAAGTGAGTGAATGTTAAAATGTTTCAAATACAGCATAAAATAGTGAGTTAATATTAAGTGAGCCCAAAGAAATGAAGAGAGTGACACAGGCCATGTCAGCAGTGAGATAAACATTCATCCCTCTTTTTATGGGGAGTGTATGTCACAAGGCCAGTGCCCAGGAAACAGGTTAAAAGCTAAGGATTTTTTTTTCTTTTTTTTGCAGCATTGGGGTTTGAACTCAGGACCTCACGCTTGCTAGGCAGGTGCTCTACCACTTGAGCCACACCTCCAGCAAAGCTAAGAAGACTTTTTTGTTCTTTTCCACACACATGCCTTGTTTTACTCCAACTCCTACACATTTCTCATTCCTGGTACCCCACTCACATCCTCCTGCCAGTCCAGCACGACCAGCTCAGACCTGTCCACATTGAGAGCCCAATCCACAGCATGAGAAAGCAAGCCTCACAGGTGATTTCACTCTCAAATCTCAAAGGATGCATTTGGGAGTGGGTTCCAGGGATGTATTTTAGGAATGAAGGCCCCTTTACTTAGGGACCTCCTAGGACTCCCCAAATAGATGGTATTGACTACGGGGTCAGACCAACTCCTGAGGTCATTGTACTTCTGCTTTAAAGCAGTCTTCTCGACAGCTAAGGGTGCAAATAAACTCCGAGACACTTTGTTGGTGCAGATTTTAAATTACAAGCTCAATTTGATACCCTCAAATACAGTTCTCAAGGAAGATTAGTTACAAATAGTTGTCAGTACTTTCAAACGAAAAGAAATTACATTTCAGTAAAACTAGATGGATTCTTTATGAGTGAGATAACAATCCTTTCATTATCAGGTGGAATTATTCCAATTCATGCAATAAATGACTTACATTTTAAAAGTTGCCCTAATTTTTCTAGGTGAGATTTCATGCCTATTTTAAGTCAAGACATCCCTATGCTCCTGAGCTCACCTCACCATCCTGGGAAGTGGTGAGGGCGCCGCTGGTTCCTCTGAGACATACAGGGACCCTGGTTGGCAAGGTGCTACCTCGGTGAAAGGTCCCAGCAGGTCCCGGCCCATGTGGCCCAGAGACAGACACAACACCAGAGACGCTATGTGACTCTGACAGTGACCTAAATAGGTAAACAGGAGGGAAATCTTAACTTCTCTTGACATAGGAAATCTTAACTTCTCTTGACATAAAATAGCCAGAAATAAGGATCACCAAATTCCTGCAACTAGAATTCCGAGGGTAAAACAGAGGTTTGTCTGTGACAAAGAGGCCCCTCCCTCTCAGTGGCCTGTGAGTGAGTGGCATTTACAGAGCCATTTAGATAGTACCGTGACACACAACATACTTTACATACAATCTCAATAAAAATTCTTAAAATTTATAATAGGACATTAAAATAATCTTCTAATAAAATCAGCCTTCAGTATAATTAATCTAGATTTCAGCATCTCGTACACTTCTAAATAAATAACTTTGATCTACAACCATTGAAAATATTACAGTTTATGGTGACATGATAGAGACAAGTCAAACAGTATAATAAGTGGAAATAAAACATCCACTTAAAAATAAGCCCCAAACACAATGAACTGAAATGACAGAAAATCAACACCAAGTACAGATTAAATATGTAGCACAGGGATGACTGAATGCGTGCACAGCAGCGGCTCTCATCTCACACAAAGCTTTGAAATTCGTAAGAGAGACGCACAGGGAGGTACTGAACCAGCCAGTAACAAGAAATCAACCTCTCCCTTTTGCTTTCAAATGATCTGAACAGAAAAACAGGAACTAATGATCACTTGCTAAAAAACTATAATTCATGTTTTTTTATGGTTCCTAGGATATAAAAAGTCAAAGCAAGGCTTCCTAAGTGTTAACCTCTGGACCTTATGTAAAGACTGGCCACCTAGTGACAGACTTAAACACCCTCAGACACTGGCCTTTTCATGCTGTCTGAATTGCCACTACGTGACCCCACGACAGGGACTAACCCGAGCCCACAACAGGTATGCACAATGCAAATGCCTGACACGGATCTTTGGGTTCTGAGGTCCGGTTATTGTGCGGACATCAGCAAGCAGGGAGAGCATCTGGTCTCCGGGTTCTCGTAAGGGCTTCTGGATGAGCTGGGTCCAGCATTCATCCTTCCAGGCAGAACTGGGGGACTCCAGAGTTCCCGAGACTCAGGAGTGCCTTCATTTTGCCTTCAGGCCTCTGGTTAATTCCCGGCCAGTCAGTCAACTTGATCGCCACACATCTGTCACAGTTTCTTGCTTCAGGGCCTATGTCTCCACAGTTCATCTATCCTACAGGTAAGCCTTCAAAGATCTGTGCCTGCACATCATAGCCAAGTTAAAAGAATAGAGATAATCTTTGTTACTCTGGGTCGGATATTTGCTCAGGATAACTGTCTGAAATGTGTGTGCATACACCCACACAAACATTTTACAGATGGAGAGCAGAATGTGGAAATAAAACAAAAAGCCTAAGTTACAAAGCTCCCAAGGCTAACTAAAAAAATGACCTTGAAACCGTAAGTTAACTGATTAGAAACAGACTGTGTGATGGCAGGAGCAACAATGGAGACCAGGAGTGTCCTTTGTCCGTTAGCACGACAAGGTGGCTAAGAGCCGTGTGGCTCCAAGCCTGTCCTGGTTACCCCAGGGGACAGTGTGGGGAGAGGGGACAGATCTCTCCCTCCGCCCCAGTGCTAGGCCAGCACTTCCTCTTGGCCTCATCGTGTGAATTGTTCTGAGTTCCTCTGATCGCCACTGAAAGCTGCCACGGCCAGCCCGGGTCGTCACCGGGCAGGGGAAAGCTCCAGAGCTCCTGAAGTGAAAGCTATGAAGAGAGTTCTGCATCTTTCATCCTCGTGCCCGGCCTGTCCCTCGTGATCCTGCTAGGAGAGGTAGATCCAGTGTCTGACTTCTGCCACACCCTGCACGAGCTTCGTGTAATAGAAGTCCATGTTGTCTGCGAAGTCTGTGCAAACAGGTGACTCCATGTCACCAAAAGCACAGTACAGAGCGGTGCCCCCCATACTGAGGAGAACCGTCACGATGCACAGCAAGATGAGCAAGATGCAGGAGCCGCCTCCAACGTCCTCTGCAAGTGCCAGGGAGAAGATAGCGTTAGGTCGCCAAAGTGCAAACCCCTCCCAGCAGATACAGACCGTTCCAGGTGTCAGTCCTCTTGGGGTCAGGACTTACAGACAGAGAAGGCGTGCATCTGCCTCTGCCACACCCTACCCCGAGGAGCTGCACAAATCCACACTTGGGAGATCATGAACGATGAAATTAAAGGGACTCATCTCTACTAGGAGCATGAACCACACTTCATGGGAAGGGAGAGGGTGGCGGTGTTCCTGACTCACTGTGCTAATCTTAGAACTCGGCTAAGATTGCAAGTCCCTCCACGTTCACAGCTCTGAGCACCTTCGGTACAGTCGATCGGACATCAGACACCACAGACGCCTGTGCGCGGCGCTCCGCACACTTGGGCTGCGCTCCCTCCTGTTATCCAGCGGAAGAGCGGCTCTAGCCAGCACACTGATCTTATGTTGCTTAACAGCTCTGGCAGGTTCGTTTTTAATTAAAAACATCCACACCCGGCTGGCGGAGTGCTCAAAGTGGTAGAGCACCTGCCTAGCAAGTGTGAGGCTCTGAGTTCACACCTTAAGACCACCAAAAACAAACAAAACATACACACCAATTTTCCTACACTGAAGAAAAAAATTATTCACTGATTGAGAAATCTTAACGATCACTCATAACTAAAGAAAACATATTTTGGAAAAAATAAATGGTTTACAATTTGCAGTATGATGAAGGTGTATAGAAACTGTTTTGGAAAGTAACTTTACATTATCTATTAAAATTTAAAATTAATTTATCTTACTACTTGGAGGTAAAGATTGGCAGGATCATAGTTTGAAGTCAGCTCAGACAAAAAGGTAGCAAGACCCCATCTCAACAAACAAGCTGGTATGATGGTAAACATATGCACTACCACCTACATTAGAGGCCTAAGTAGGAGGATTGAGGTCAAGCTGGGCTGGGGCAAAAAAACATAAGACCCTACCTGAAAAATAAAGTAAAAAGGGCTGGGGGTATGGCTCAAGTGAGTGGAGCGCCTACCTAGCAAGCACAAGGCTCTGAGTTCAAGCCCAGCACCACAAAAAAAAAAAAATTATCCTCTAGACTGGACGCTTTCAGAGTGAAATACACATTGCCTGAATGGAACAGACGGATGTGAGGCAGGACTGCCTGAGGCCAACTGACAGCATGGCCTCGATTTAACCCAGCAAACCCACACTTGGGAATTAGCCTACAGACAAAATCACATATTCACTGCAGCAGAGTTTATCACAATGAAAAGCAAGCTGAGAACCCAGTTAATCCAGGAGCAAGAAATAATTTAATCACACGCTGGAAGATTATACAATCACTTAACAGAGCGTGGTGACATGAGTGTGCTCTCCCATGCAAAGAGGTGCAAGACTCATGATGAAACCCTAAAAAGCAGCTCCCTAGCAGTGCACAGAGAACGTGTCCTGAAGGAATGATGAGAAACTTCAACTGAGCCTCAACATGCAGACGTGGCACGAGTGTGAAACACGTCCCGCACGTGAAGACTCAATGTGAAAATGGGTGCAGCGTCTCTGTAATTGTTTCTATTTTGATCTCATGTTGGAACAATGCTTTTGATATGCTAGATTAAATGAAATATAGTGGAATTCACACTCACTCCCTGTTTCTCTTTACTGCTGGTAGACAGCACTGATCTGGAGCAGAAGTGGCTGTTAGGAAGATCCTAGCACCGCGTGAGCGGTCACCATCCCGAGTGTATCAAGAAGCTTCCTAATCATCAATGTGTACCCAAGCACACCACCTGAGGTGCTTTTCAGCAAACATTATTCTACCACAAAGATGTCGGCCTGAGTCTCCACAAGTTAGTGACGTGCTGTGAGATAAGGTATCTATGACGTGAAGCGGGGATGTGACAGTCACAGCCAACACCGTGTCACATGGAGGAAGCACACCAGGATGTTTACATGTGATTTCAACAATGCAGTGTTTTGTACACACAAAAGCACAGGGGCAAGTTCTGGGCTGTGTGTTCAGCCACCCTTATTTCCCTAAGCCCTCGGCAATTCTATCTGCAACCACAAAAGGTGGCACTGTTGCTATGGCAGCCACCAAGCGCAGGCCCAGGAGGAAAAGCAGGCCACAGCAACAGAGCCAAACTGCATCCTTGGGAGATACTCTCCTCTATGGGGTGAGGTGTACACTCACAACAGAAAAATATTTCCTGCCATAAAGGAGGAGTGCTAACTAATCATTACACAGATTACATTGCAATTTGCTCACTTATTTGAGCAAAAATGCTTCAAAATAAGACGATGGCTTGATTTTTTTCATGCTTTTTCCAAAAGGATTAAACGATTATGTTCTGATGAATTTTTTTTTTTTTTTTTTTTTTAGCAAAGATCATGCCATACAGTGAATCGTTCTTCAGCAAACACCGATGGCTAGGCCAGGGCTGAGCGGTTTACCTGGATCCAGGTGATCATCTACCTCCTGGAACCTCACTCTTCGTTTGGATGGTTTCTGATGCATGTGGGCAGAATGACTTCCTTCTGAGTCACTCCTCTTCTTCAGTATAGACACCAGCCCTTCGGCAGGAACCACCTGCAGAGATCGCAAGGTCATTTGTTATACCAAGGTGGGATATATCGATGGTGCTCCCCACATAACCGTGAGGAGGCTAATACAGCTCCATAGACACTTGAGTGTATGAGAGTTGCATTGAGGACACACACACACACACACGCACACACGCATGCACGCGTCTAACCCTGACATCTCCTGACCCAATTTCCAGGATCAGGTACACAGGCCACAGACCAGAATCCAGGAGCCTCTCTTAAGCACCTGGCTTACAGGTGAAGCTTCCCTGTAAGTCACTTGTGACTCAGTCACTGGCTTGAGCATTAGTGCAAGGTCCCATTTACAGTGGAGGTGGAGGCTCTTCACTGCCTTTTTTATTCATCAGTGGTTTTTAAGAAACAAACATGTGAGACTTAAAATCTATTTGATACCAAACTTTTAACATCGAACGAGTCCTCAGCTCCTCTCAGAAAGTATTTACTAAACAATGCCTGAACTCAAAATACGTTTTGTAAATAAAATTGAACTGAAAACTGGCCAAGCCTTCGTCTGCACATTGACCACAGACAGCTGCTTTGGCACTGTAATGGCAGAGCCGAGTTGCTGCAGACCAGAGCCTAGGGGATTCAGTTTGACCCTGTGCAGGAGAAGCATGCTGTCTAAGTCCCCTTCAGCCTCCCACCCTGCCCCCTCTATGCTGCCTTCTAGTTTCCACTTGGGCCACCACTCCCCTGCCTATGCCTGACCTCTTATTTAGAGGCCAAAAACAAGCTAGTGTGGTGGTGCAGTCCTGTAATCCCAGCTCTTGGGAGGCGGAGGCAGAGGCAAGAGGATCATGAGTTTGAGGACAGCCTGGGCTACTTAGCAGGACTCTGTCTCAAAATCACCATCACCAAAAGCAAAAAGAAAACTGTTGCCACTTAGGAGCTATTGGCCTCCAAGGCTCAGGGAGAAGAAGAGGACCAATGGGAAGGGCCAGGCAGGATGTAGGAGGCCTCACCCAGGGCCCCTGGGCAGCAGACTCATCACAGAAGGGACTTGTGAGCTGGCCTGCTTGTCCCAAGCTGCAGTTGACCACATAGGGGGCACTTTGAGCCAAACACTGTGCAGGGCAGTGACTTGCTGGTATCCAGTCACTGTAAGCTACTACCTGCAATAACATCTGTCCTATCAATGGCACAAAATACTTCACGTGATTCTTAGTTCCAGCCAACAGTCTCTGATAATGTGCTATGCATAAACATTACAGTTCCCCAGTTCTTTTTATAGCTCAGGGCTTTTAGGGCCAAATAACTCCAGATGGTCTTCTACTAAGCTTTTGTGAACACGGATCTATAGAAACCATTATTTTACAAAAATCAATAAGCCAAGCAATTTATTCTTTTTATAGGAAATACATATTTCAGCTGTCCTTAGTCTGAGAAAACTAAAGAGCTTTACTGACTTTAAAATGGTAAGTACAAATGCCTAAGGGAACTGTTTATTAAATCTTTCTTAAGAAAGCTATGTTGAAAGACTCCTTCCTAAAACAAAGAAAAATAATTTTAGAAACCCCTTGCTGAACAGAGAGGGAAAGAAATCCTAGTAACTTTCTAAAGAGCATGGGATGGAAAGTGGAAATTTATTTATTTTGTGATAGGGCCTTCACCTTAAGCCAGTCCTTTTTAGTGATGGGATTTTTCCAGATAGGGTCTCTTGAACTATCTTCCCCAGGCTGGCTTCGAACCATGCTCATCCTGACCTCTGCCTTCTCAGTTGCAGGGATTACAGGCATGAGCCACTGAGTATCAGGGATTACAGGCATAAGCCACTGGTGCCAGGCTGGAAATTGATTTTAATGAATACATTACTCTGAAAGATATCATCACTGATATTCTATTTCTAGTAAAATAAAAAACAAAGGGGCAGGGAACTTACACATTCATTCACTATTTTTCTATTTTCTCCACAAATACCAATGGAGAATTCACTATGAAAAGTTTCTTTGTTTTTTTGCTTGTTTTTAAGATGGGGGTCTTCCTATTCACCTAGGCTGGTCTTGAACTCCTGGGCTCAAGTGATCTTTCAGCCTTGGCCTCCCCAGTAGCTGGGGCATGCCCTACTACACCAGAGACTCGGGAGTTTTTGGTGGTACTGGGGATGGAGCCAGTACTAAGCAAAAATTCTCTAGCCCAGCTCAGGAGTTTGTTTATTTATTTATTTATTTATTTTTAAATTTTTTTATTATTCATATGTGCATACAATGCTTGGGTCATTTCTCCCCCCTGCCCACCCCCTCCCTTACCACCCACTCCACCCCCTCCCTCTCCCCCCACCCCCTCGATACCCGGCAGAAACTATTTTGCCTTTATCTCTAATCTTGTTGAAGCAGCTCAGGAGTTTTTAAAGTGCTGTTTTAACTTAGAAAAAATCCTATTAGGAACAGTTCTTAGGACTGGGGGTGTTGCTCAAGTGGTAAAGTGCTTGTCTGGCAAGTGTGAGGCCCTGAGTTCTATCCCTGCTACTGGCAAAAAAAGAAAAGAAAGAACATTCCAAGGATGAATCCCAGAGTGGCATTACTGTTAACTGCGCATCTATGCGATATGAATTTTGAATCTGTAAATTCAAGAGACAAACAAGCTAAATGGATGTGGTCAGGCTGAGAGCAGCTCCCGCGTCCTCTGGAAGGCACTTGGAGCAGGCACAGCAGGCCACCGGCCTCCTTAGCTCCTGCTCAGTCTATGGGTGTCTGGCTCTGGAAGCATGTTGGTAGGGCCCCTGATAAGACCTGCGCCCCTACCTTATTCACTATGGGTGGTGAGAGATTTGGGCAACCTTCTGAAAGAGTAAGGAGGCAGAGTATGAGAAACTACACTTGTGTGGCTGGATCCACGTTTTGACTCCTCTTTCCTCATCTCTAAAAATTTAATCGTCCTCCCAATCTCTTCTGTCAGGGAGTGCTCTGTCCACTGCCTCCCCCAGGCCTTCTCAGGCCTCTTCTCTAGGTTTTTCTTACTTTTGCAACAGGGGACCACAGAGCCCTGCTGAGCACAGGACGCACCAGGAGGGTGCGACAGATGGAACGCAGAGGCTTCACACTTGCACCCCACAAAGAATTCCCATTACCACATCTGTCTGTCAAACACCAAGAACTAAGAAATGGCTTTGGTGGATGGAGTTGGCCTGAATTCTATCACTGAAGGGCAAGTATTCAAAGATGAACAATTTTATTTTTTAAAAACCTGTGTTTGTTTATTTGTGGTACTGGATCAAACCCAAGGCCTTGCCCAAGCTGGAAAAGACAAAGAACTGTTTTTATAAGTTTTTTTCTTCTTCCTTTTTTTGGGGGTACTGAGGTTTGAACTTAGGGCCTCACGCTTGCTAGGGAGATGCTGTGCCATTTGAACCACTCCAATAGCCTGACAGAATTTTTTAAATCTCAAAAATACAGCTTTAAGACTAAATTGATTTGTTTTCCACTTTAATTACCAAATTGCTTTCCTAGCCAAACAAAATATAGCAAGCCCTTCCACTGAGAACACAAAGCAAGCCTGAGCCATAATTAATGTGATTGGTGTTGGCATTCTGTGAATGCAGAGCCTAAAAAGTCCATGTGCCCAGTCCTCTGTATAATAAATAGCTGTTCTTCCTCACTGTACGCCAACCACTATCCTAAACAGCATCTTCAAAACCAACCGGTTATAAAACCCAATTACTTTGCAGCTCAACCGGAAAAGTAATTCCTAACATGACCTGGAAAACATTCAGAACACACTACTCAAGATGAGAGGAGAAAACAGACACCAAATAATCTTCCTTTAATCATGCACTCTCTGCTCCATCCAGAGCCTCAAGGCTGGTGAATCTGGAACAAGAGTACAAGCTCGTTCTCATTCTCTCCTACCAGAGATGACCTGCTCGGTCTACTGAAGGTTATTCCTACTCCTTCCCCCCAGCCCCCCAAAAAAGAGCGCCTGCTTGGTTTCCAAGTAAGTGGGGAAGTGACATTCACAAATTCATTCATCCATTAGCATGTTGCACATACTTTAAATGACCTCAGCACTCTTCACTTAAAAAACCAGTGACTGGGGCTGGCACAGTGCCTCAAGTGGTAGAGCACTTGCCTAGCAAGCACAAGGCCCTGAGTTCAAACCCCAGTGACACCAAAACAAACAAACAAACAAAAACAAGTGATAAGCCGTAGCTGTGGCTCAGTGGCAGAGCACTTGCCCCTCACAGCTGCAGCACCAAAACAAAACAAATGACAACAAAAAATCCCAGGAGGTCCTCTCGTGATGCCTCCATGTCTCTGGTTCCAGAGTAAGAAGTAAGTATAACTCAGCAACAATTCTTGACTCTTTCACCTCTCTGCCTGCCCCATTTCACAGACAGGAAGCAAACTGGAGGCTTGGGCAACCTATGTGGTCTACAGCACCACTGACCAGCAGAGTTTGAAGATGGCCCCAGGATAAACCTCCTGCTGCTCTCCAAGTGTGAGGGAAGATCACATTAAAATTTTGCTGCCATTGTAACAATGTTCTTGTTACAATCAAGGTGAACCAGAACTTCCGAATAAGACTAACACGTTTTGTTGTCTTTGCAAAGACGTTCACATGTCTACCAGAGGCTCTCATCTGACAATCTCCCCAGCTAAGACATACTTAAACTAGTGGCTAAATTGTCAATCTAGAGACGTGAAGAGGGGTGGCTGAGGACAGAGCTGTGTGGAAGCAGATTAATATAGAGCAAATTGAAAGAGTGAGTCATACTTGGACCTGAGGGTGACAGCTACATGAAGGAAAGCCATCTTCCAGAAAGGCCCTGGTGGTCACCTCAGATCCACAAGCTAACTCTTTGAACACTCCAGTGAGGAGAGAGTGCAAGATAAGAAAAACAAGGTTATGATGAAGAACGTCAATGTTGAATTTTTAAAACTGATTTAAGAAGGAAACAGCATTTTGTTAAAAACAAAACCAGGAGCTTTACAAGGCACTGAAGTGTCTAAATTAGGTACTGCCTCATGCTGTGATTTGTTGTGCTTGAGGACAGGGACAGTGCAACACGTGCACAGCAGAGAGGACACGTAAGGAGGCCAGGCACTGAATGCCAGCAATGCAGCTCGGCTGCACCCCTGGGGATTTCATCACAGCCTTCCCAGTGTTTGAGACTCGCTGTTTGTTTCCACACAGCTTGCTCAGTGTGGGCATCTCTGCTAGGAGATCAACCTTTCAGAGCAGGGCCCTTCTCTGTGCTCGCTGCAGACTCCCCACTTTCTACCACACAGTAGGGAGGTCCTCAGTGAATATGCCAGAGTAGACATCTGTCTATACACAGATGAGGCACTTACACAGACAGTGCCTTGCATATACTTATTTGAGAAATGGAGCATTTTCCTTGAAAAGAAAATTATACAAGCCATATAAATTATAAATATGCAACATATACATTAATATGAAGATAATTTATATAAATATGCAACAATTTATATAATCTTACTTTTATCAAACTATTATTCTAAAGTGAACTAGGACAAAAAACCCTCATTGGATATTATGACTGTTATTTACAAGTCTACAAGATGTGCTCAACAGAAACTCTACCCTGAAGGAGTTATGCCGTCTGGTGTGGGAGATGTGTGTCCTGTAAGAGCAGGTGAGATCACAACTGGACAAGACTTCAGGGGACACTGCTCAGCCTCCTCCTCAATCCAGGTTCAGAGCTATAGCTTTGGTGACCACAAACAGGGCAGCAATGGGCACTCACCAAGAGCTGGCCATAAGCTGGGCTTGGCCCTGGCTGATGGGGAAGTGTGTCACAGTGTGAGGCTCTGCTCGCATGGGGGCTCTGGACTACATCCTGTCACCATTTTCAGTGGCTTTTTACAAATTTATTTCTAGACTTGGTTTGTGGTTGTTGTTGAGATGGGGTCTCACTATGTAGTCCCAGTAATTTGGGAAGCTGAGGCAGGATGTCGCTTAAGCCCAGGCGTTGGAGACCAGCCTGAGCAATACAGTGAAACCCTGTCTCAAAAAAAAAAAAAAAAAGACTGAGTTTTATAAAATGTATCCAGTGTTCAGCTGTGTGTCACTCCCTTACCCCACGCTTGTGGCAGTCCACGTGAACATGTGGAAAGCCCATAGTGGAGGGCTCTTACTGGCAGCGGGGGTTGGAACTTGTGCTACCTTGTATCCTGAGAGCACATTTCTTCTCCTAAATTCTGCGTGTTACGCTTCAGGAAAGGCAGCTGCAGAGTTCAGAGTGAAGATACCTCAGCTCTTCCAGGTTTCAGAAGCAACCAAATCAGCAAATCATCTGCACTGCCAGGCTCCAGGAAAAGGGGCTTTGTTTGTGTTTTGACATTAAATAATCCGTGTTGACCTATCATGGGTACTCCACTAAAATTTTATCTTTTGCCAAAACTTGGGATGCTCAAATGCAGCAAAAAAGACACTTTTGGGCTGGGGATATAACTCAAGTGGTAGAGAACCTGCCCAGCAAGCCCTGAGTTCAAACTCTGGTACTGCCCCCCTCACCCCCACCAAAAAAAAAAAAAAAAGCATTCTACACTGTACAGCTTGAACTACATCTCCAGTCCATCTTGCTCTGGTTATTTTGGGGATGGGGTCTTAACAAACGATGTGCCTGGGCTGGCCTCAAACTTCAGTCCTCCTGATCTCAGCCTCCCAAGTAGCTAGGATTAAGGATGTAAGCACCAGCACCTGGCTTTACCTGTGTTTTTAATGACTGCATCTGCCATGTTGCGGAACTCTCAGAAGAGTCAGTTGTAAAACTGACTGACTGTAGGAATAAATGAATGACTTTCTAACTTGTTGTCTGATACAAGTAGTAACTTGTTTTTCTTAAAAATCTGTGAAGTGAGGATGAATGTTTTTGATTTTTTGGGGGGTATCACTAGGGTTTGAACTCAGGGCCTGGTGCTTGCCAGATAAGTGCTCTACCACTTGAGCCACACCCCCAGTCCACAAAGTAAATGTGTAACAATCTATTTAACATCATTGCAGGAAATTAAGTTACTTTTGTTAACCTCAGCTTTTGGGGTTCTTAGTAGAACTTCAGGAGATGGGACAATAAGCATTAATTTCACAGAAAACAAACTTTAAATACATGTAAGTCCCCCTGCTAGCTGCTATTTAATAAGAAAACATAATATGTTATGAATTTCAGGAATGAATATTCCATTTGTCGAAATATACATTAATTTCATAGTTTGATGACTCCCTATATCAGAGATTTGGCAAGAGAAAATAGAAAGAGAATAAATGTTGGTTGAAGTGCTTTACTATTTACTCTATTTGTTTTTTAAACTATTTTTTAAATTGTGCTAAAACATGTAACATAAAATTGCCATTGCAACCGTTTTAAAAATATGCAATTCAGTACACTATACTCACAATGCTATGCAACCAGGCTGGTGGAGAGGCTCAAGTGGTAGAGCACCTGCCTAGCAAGCATGAGGCCCTGAGTTCAAACCCCAGTGCCACAAAAAAAAAAAAAAAAAAAAAGATAACAATGTACAACCATTACTACCATCTTTTTCCAAAATTTGTCATCACTTTAAACAGATACACCACACCCATTAAGCAGCAATAAATAATTTTAAGAGAAAAACCAGTTTGTAGGAAACTAGCTGTAAATGACAATCACATGGTCTGATTAAAATAAGCAGGTGGATGGATGACTACTGGGCCAAATGCTTTAGTATTCTAACTCTGTCCAAACAAATCAAGAAGAAAGAACATAGTTTATGAAGAATTGATTAAAAATGGCAGAAGAAAGAGTAACATAGCAGTTAAATCATCTTACAAAGCTATTCACAGTTTCTGTTTCGATGATCTCCCTGAAGTTATTTTTTTCAGTGATGATGCTGTCAGAACACTATAGGTGTAAACAGGATTTAGGAGCCAATTTAGAGAAACAAATTAGGGTAGAGAGAAAGAAAGGCAGCTTGCATTCTAAGTCTCAGAGGCAGAGCTGGGCCTGTCTGCCCTACCCAAGGCTGAGACCTGCTCTTCCCTCATGGCTTTTATCTTGTCTTTTCCTGAACTTTTTTACAAAGGGGGAAGGGCCACCTTTCTTTAAGGTTTTTTTTTTTTTTCTTTTCATTTTAATAGCTTACACAGTCATCTACCTCCTTCCTACCTCATATTTTAAAATGGTTCCCCTGTTCTGCTATGCTGTTTTAGAGAATTTTAAAAACACATCGGTATGAAGAAGAAACGGAAGATATATGAGAAGAAAAACAAGCTTTCCTTAACAGAATGTGCTTAATCTTGTCTTCATCATAATTCTCAGGAAGGCCAAATGAAAACCACACAAGGGTAAAACAAATGGTGCTCATAGTCATCCTTACTGTCTCTGGAGGCATCAATATAAGTTATTGAACTATAAACATTATAATGATTAAAAGACATTTCATTCAATACATACAAATAAAACCAGGAATGATTAAAAGTTTAAAACTAAAATTTTCTCTTATGTTTGAAACCAGGGGAAACTTACAAAAACAAAGCACTGTTTTATACATACACTGCTTTCTAGACTTTGACTTTACTTCTAATCCTACTACACGTCTAATTTACCTCTGCAATCTCTATCCTTTTGGCAAGATCATCGAGAGAGAGACAGCTACCGTCAGAAGGCAGACCCTCCTGCACACTGTAGGAAGCCTCTTCCGGAGAAAGGTCCTGCAGGAGGTCAGAGTCTGGGTTATCTTCATGGGAAAGAGAGCCTTCAGTGTCCTTTACGCATCCCTCCAAAAGGCTGTTCAGATAGTCTTCTGTTTCTTTACTGACTTGGTCTTGCTCATCCCCCTTTTCCTCTGGGGCCATCCACGGTTCCGGAAGCAGTGTACTTAGGTCAGACGTTTTACTGTTTTGACAAAGTGCATCCTCAGAGCCAGTGTGTGCGCCAGCCTGGCTGGGTGAGTTTCCATCACTGCCTGTGCGATCAGGTTGCTGCGGCTCAGTGAGAGCATTGTTCTCCAGCTGGGCCAGCCCCGCCCTAGCAGCATCCTCAAGTGGCAAGTGGAGCTCTTCTCTTCGAGTCTGTGAATGTTTACCCTCAGAAACAAGCCCAGGAGGTATATGGTCAGAGCCTGGCAAGAGCAGTGCCTCTCTCACTGACTCACCAGGAGGGCCCACCTGAGGGACGGCAGCACTGCCCTTTCTGTTGGCCACATCTGGGTGGCCCTCTGTGTGAGCCGCCTGCACAAGGCTGTCATCCTCACAGGCATTCTTGAAAGAGTCTGGCCCTGCCCCATTCCCGGCTGTCTCCGTCTCTGGGGACTGGGTGTGGAGCTCCAGTGTGGCTTCCGTGCTGCAGAGCAGCTCCTCCACGTGGCCCTTTCCTGCAGTCACTGGAAGGCCAGGGGAATCTGCCTGTGCGTCCATCTGATTGCAGCCGGGGCTGCTCTCTTGGGGCTGCTCTTTATGCTGGCTTTCTGGACTTGATTCCGGGGCAGAACAAGTTTCACTCTCTAAAAGATGAAGAAAATGAATCGGTTTAAAATGCCAATAGAGCTTTATGTAGAGGGAAGAGAAAGGGTGGGAGAATGAGTTGTGAAATACTATATTCTAATCAGCCAGAAAGTCTGTGACATTCTAATGTCCTTAGGTAGGATATACTCAAAGTATTTAGTAAATAATATTAATTTATAAAAGATAACAGATTATTAAGCTGAGCACTGGTAGCTACTCAGGAGGCAGAGATCAGGAGGATTAAGGTTTGAAGCCAGCCTGGGCAAATAGTTCTTGAGACCCTATCCCAAAAAAAACAAACACAAAAAGGCTGGTGGAGTGGCTCAAGGTGTAGGCCCTGAGTTCAAACCCCAGTACCACCAAAAAAAAAAAAGCTAACAGATTATTTAAAAGTGTTACTATGAATAAATAATTAAGCCTTCGTTATAAGTGAAAAAGCCATTTTTCAAAGGTTTACAAGGATTTTTGCATTTAAATGACTACATCTATTGAAGTCAGAAAAATTATTTTCATTACATTTAAAACATGGCATGTTAAGTAAATATTTTTACATAACTTCATTAATAACACAAAATATAAGAAAAGCAGTATTAATTCTACTAAAACCTCAAATTTATAATTTGAACACAATACCCTTAACAAATGTGCTTTTGAGTTACTTGCAACTTCTTACAGCACAGTAGCAAAGGTAGTGATAAAAAGAGTGAGTGCTGGCAGGCGGTAGAAACAAGTTTGAATTTTGACATCTCTTTCAATTTTTACTTGAAATAAAATCAACGTAATACATATGTTTTGGACTGGAGAGATGGCTCAAGTGGCAGAGTCCCTGCCTAGCAAGCATGAGGCTTTGAGTTCAACCCCCAGTGCCGCCTCAAGTTTTTTCTGTTCACATTACACAGTTAACGGCCTTCACGTGGACGGTGAATGGGAGCTGCGCTGGGTGGATGGCAGGGAGCAGCTCGCCCCATTTCTTGCTGTACTTGGCATTCCTGCTGTGTTAGTATGAACTTTTTTCTCTACCTGTACTATTTCATTTACACAAATAAGGGGCTACAGGTGAAGATGGGAGATAAAATAGCCTTATTCCATTTGGTTATTCATTTATTGGTACCTTAATAATTACCAAATGAGAATCAAAACCCATACCAGACCAAAGAAAAGGCATTTCTTAAAATGCTGTCTTCAGCTTTCAGAGAGAGAAGTGTGAAGCAGGGCTGGCGACCTCAGCTCTGGCGAGCAGAGAGGCAGCAGCTCCCTGGTTTGCAGTACCTCCTCCCACGCCTGACCTGGATCAAGAGAAAAGCCATCTGTTGGCAAGTCCTGAATTCCTTCTCTGCTCCTCACTCCAAAGAACCAAAGTTTAAGAGACTGCAAAAACACCTGGGCATTTTGTGCCATGGGTTGGGTTCTTTGCTTTGCCACTGTGAGACTACAAAAAGGAGGGTCATAGCCAGGCAGAAAGGAGGGCAAGCCTCTCTCCACAAGTCCTTAGTGCCCAAAGGTCGAGAGACGGCCCTCAAAACACGTGCACAGGGTTCAAAGACTGAATGAGATTGAGACTGGAACTGTTATACACAGGGAGAGCTCTCCATCAGAATGCGTGTGCTGTCCAACTGCAGGCCACATACCCAAAAGACTAGATGACTTGGAGGAAGCTCCTGGTTCTAGTTGTGACTAAATGTACCAAAGAAACGACTTTACACTTGGCGCTCAGCTTCCCCACCTGTCCCACACATCATACCAGAGATGGGCTAGAGGCAGCTGGCCCTGGGGAGCAACTCTGCTTAGACTCAAATTCTGAGCCCAAAACAACACTCTTCCTGAACTGTACACCATGGAGACAGAGTCACATCCAAACTGGGTGGCAATTTTGGGATTGACTTCTCCCTTTAAGGTTGTTATGAACCTGCGTTTACTCTGGTTTCTGATATACAAATGACTAAAAAAAGAGACAGAAAGAACTGAGCACGGTAGGTAAGACTCAAGCCAATATACCTAACTTGCCTCACAAGAGCAAAGGAAATACAGATTTGAAAAATAAAAGTGCCTTTAAAGAGGAAATAATGGCTGTGGAGTGGTTCAAATGGTAGCACCTGCCTAGCAAGTGACTCTGAGTTCAAACCCCAGTATCACCAAATAAATAACTAAATAAGCAAGCAAACAAACAAATAAATAAATAACTAGGAAAGGACTAATTGAAGGTAGCAGCAGCAGTTGTATCTTCAAGGCTCTCCCTGCAAATACTGGAGAGTTCTTCAATATTAGGGCTCCCAGGCCCAGGCATTCAAATCAAGAATAAAACCAGATGTCAGAAGAGAACCACCCTAAAACATTTGTCAATTTTTATTTTCTAATGGTTTTATAATGAAGAACATGCACTTAGGAAAAAAATCTCTAAAAGTCATTGACAAACGGCACAAGTTCGTATGAAACACTTTAAATATATACATAAATTCAAATACAGCAGATGTAAGTTAACAAAAGGAAGAGGAGCAGTTGCTGTAGCTAAACGATCAAGACATGGAACTCTGCCAGGCACTGGTGGCTCACATCTGTAATCCCAACTACTCAGGAGGCAGAGATCAGGAGAAATGCGGTTCAAAGCCAGCTCAGGGAAATAGTACTCAGAGACCCTATCTTGAAAATACCCAATATAAAAATGGGCTGGTGGAGTGGCTCAAGGTGTAAGCCCTGAGTTCAAGCCCCAGTACAACAGGGGGAAAAAAAAAAAGACACAGAACCTTCAACCACCTAGATTTGCAGAAGAGGTTTCTGGTAAAGTCCATTTGGTAATTATTTTTAAATAATAAAGAATGTCTAAATATACCAAAACCATTTCAGAGCATTTTTATATAAGCTTTTTTTTTTTAGGTGGTACTGGGAATTGAACCCATGACCTTATGCATGCCAGCTCTCTACCACCAAGCTATATCCCAGCCCCTGTATAAACTTTCTATATTCTGCTAGATACATTTAATCACTAACTGAGAAGATGGAAACGATTTGATATTTGTTGGAATATCTACTGCTAGATATCTAAAGATGAAATCACACAACATAAAAACTGTTGCTTTGCTATTTCTGCAGAGAAGGTGTATATACAAAATGTAAATGAAAAAACCAGGGCAGCAACTGAGACAGCACTCATAAACATCACAGAAAGCAGCATCTTTTACCACTCCTAACTTAATTTACAAACATACCTGACTCTCTGGCTGCAGCTCCTCTTCCCCTTGGATCTTCAGACACTGTTAACTGTGTCAAGCATTTCCTTCCCAGGCACTTTTCCACAGCTGCTATCTAAAAAGTTTTAAACAAAACAAAACAAAAACTGTTACATTATATTAGAAAGCCCACAGTATCTTCAGAAAGGTTTCTTTATTTTCTAAAGCTGCCCATACAAGAACATATGACACTAATATCTTCGCTATAAACATTTTCAAAAGAAACAAATCTCTTACCTTGTGTTTGGGTGAAAGAGGACTGTAGAAAAAAAAGAAAGAAAAAAATTTTAAGAAGAACAGCATGTTTCCAAACAAATGTCACTGAAATGGCTATAAAAAAAAAATACAGCGTCTCTGGATTCTAATATTAGCAGAGGACGTCTCCATGACTGAAACATTACCACGGGTCACACATTTAAAGTGCAGCTATCATGTGTTAATCTCCTTGCACAGCCAATCGCTACTGATAAGCCCCAATGAAGATACAAAAGCTAAGACCCAGAGTAAAAAAGAAAGTTCACCTTTTGTTAATAAGATACTTAAAGACTGTTTCACACAAAGCTGCGCTTATAAATTTGTTTATATCATAGTCCAAACTAGATATGGCAGAAGATAATTTTTGTTGGAATTATCCCTGAGAACAGATTACCAGAAAAGTAACTAATTCTTAAATATTAAACTTCAGGGAATATCCAACATAATAGGATATTTACATCCATCTATCTATCTATCTACGTATGTGTGTGTGTGTATATGTATGTATATATTTTTATATATCTCTAGCAAATGCATGAGCAAAAATATTCATAACATTCAAAACTAAGACAGCAGAAGGAACACATCTTGGTGGGTGCTGGTGGCTTATGCCTGTAATTCTAGCTACTCAGAAAGCAGAGATCAGGAGGATCGAGGTTTGAAGCCAGCCTGAGCAAATAGTTAGAGACCCTATCTTGAAAACCCTTCATGAAAAAGGGCTGGTGGAGTGGCTCAAGGTGAAGGCCCTGAGTTCAAGCCCCAGTACAGCAAAAAAAAAAAAAGGGCCCCATCTTGCTGCCTAGCTGTACCATGACCCTATACGTCAGGGAAGCAGCAGACTGCGTGGTGAAGCCACAATGCTGGACACCAGAAGCTAGCACATCAAGCTGTGCTCTGTGTGGCTCCATTTCTATGAAATCACAGACCAGGCAAACAGCCAGGTGGATCTGGAGGTGGTGACCGCTGGAGTGAGCATGGATGTGGCACTGCACCGGCAGCCTTCTGAGGCTGGGCTGTTCTGTATCTTGGCTCTTTGCTTGGAATGCTGGTCATATAGATGTACACATGAAAAATTTCATCAAGTTCACATACTCAGTGCTCATCTACAACAAAGTATCTTTACATATTTAACTGTTATGAGTAATAATTTGGGAGCAGTTACATAAAGATATGCCACATTCTAGTCAAGGAAATATTTGTTTATTAAATGCTTGAATCATTCATAACATGTTAAGATGCTATTAGGAAGTGTCTATATTTATTTTCTTTCTTTTTGGTGGTGGGACTGGGGTTTGAACTCAGGATCTTGTGCTTGCCAGGCAGGTGCTCTACTACTTGAGCCACGCCCCAGTCCTGTGTTGAATATTTTGGAAGTAAAAAAAAAAATGATTAAAAGATTTTAAATGTTAATGATTTATCATTTAAAATGTTATGAAATTTAAGATTAACCTATTTAACTGGCTAAGAATTTAGACTATAATTTAGAATCCCTGGGCTGGGGTTGTGGCTCAAGTGGTAGGGCAGTCTGCCTAGCAAGCTGGAGGCCTTGAGTTTAAATCCCAGTACTGCCAAAAACAATCAATCAAATGAATGAAATAGAATGCCTGAAAACACTGTTTCAAAGGTCCAAAGTGACTGACTGAAAAACACTGTCATCCTGAGAGCTGAAGGAACGTCCAACCCTAAACCTAGAAGGCTCTTCCAAGGCTGGTCGCCACACCCATCAGAGCTGAAGGCAAGTTCTCTGTCTCCTGCATGAGCTAAGGGACAATGACTTGGGCTAGCTTCATTACTAATGAACCAAGCTTTAGGTTACTCCTTGTGATGCCAGCAGTTGGAAACTCCTTCAGTTTCCTTTCCATGGAGGACTCTCGTCCAGATCCCAGCAGTTTGCCCTACTGTAAGCACTGTCATGCCCCTCGCATCCAGAAAGCTGGGCCATCAAATACATGTTTTTAAAACTGTAAGTGCTATATGAATAATAAAAGAAAAATGGAAAAAAAATGTAAGTGCTTCATTATTACTATAATTTAGTTTATAATTTAAAAATCCACTTTGATAAAAATTAAGCAACTGAAAATTACTTGGTAAATGAAGTTTTCCTTCTGCAAGTATTTTGGCTAAATACATTAATTGTTATTTAATGTTAATTAAGCACTATATTTGCTTCCCAGAAAATTCTTAAAAATGTTACAATTTTTCTACAATGCAAACACTAACAAATGGCTACAATAAAATTCTTTTTTTTGTGTTTTTTTTTTATTGTCATAATATTGTTATACTGGGGGAACACTGTGACATTTACAAAAGTTCTTACAATATATCATAGCTGAATTCACCCTTTCTGTCATTCTCCTTTATCCCCTCCCCCCATTGCTGGAACAATTTCAACAGGTCTAGAATAAAAAAGTCTTAATATACAATTTAGTTTATCTGAATTGCCTAATGTCTTAACTAAAGTATATCAATATTACAGGCTTAGCAAAGTGCAAAGCCCTGAGTTCAAACCCCAATATCATCAAAAAAAGTGTGTCAAAATTAAAAGTTATATTTTAAAATGTGTAATTAGAAGGATCCTTTTACTGGCTTTGGTCTAAGAAACATAAAAGCTTAGAAAGGAGCCCAGTAATTTTATCATACACATTTTAATCTCTCAAGTTGGAATCATCACCGAAACAGAAGAATGGGAGGTATATCTCAATACCAGTCCATTCCAGCTCCCGGCAATAAATCATGAGGTACTTACTCTTGATGTGTTGTGCATAATTCAGCAAGCCGTTCAAAATCTTCACCAGTAAATCCTTTCTCTGAATTCCTTAGAGGTGCAACTCTATGTGATTGTACGGTTTTCCATTTTGTTTCTAAATTTAAAGTATTTGTTAGTCACTGGCTTTTGCACAACCTAATCAGGAGGAAAAATAGTACCTGGCATCACTGATAAAAATTCACGTGCAAAGTCATCTTTTCAAACAACCAAACTTAACACGGCTAGAAGCAGCAAATGTGTTACTTTGCAGTGTAAGTGAATATCAACTCAAGACACTGAATTAGCCAGGAGGGCAGGCAATGTGCTAAAAAATGCTGCAAATAAGCCAGGTGCTAGTGGCTCACACCTGTAATCCCAGCTACTCAGGAAGCAGAGATCAGGAGGATCTCAGTTCAAAGCCAGCTCGGAGAAACAGTACTGCAAGACCCTATCTTGAAAATACCTTTCACAATAAAAAAGGGCTGGCAGAGTGGCTCAAGGTGTAGGCCCCGAGTTCAAATCCCAGAACCACAAAAAAAAAAAAAAAATCAAAACCAAAACCAAAAACCAATGCTGCAAATAGCTATAATAGCTGTAAGTGTTCTTCTCTTGGAACAGATGCCAAGAACAAAATACAAAGAACCTGTGGTAAAACTGAGCTACTGTTTAAACTGACTGTGGACCTTCTACTTGATGATCTAGGAAATCAAGTCAAACGCCTCTTTCTAAGTAGCGATCTGCGAGTTTACTGGTAATTCCGTGTCTGTGGAGGTCGGTACTCACCCCACTGTTGTTGAATGGCAGAAAGGTTTGCAAGCAATTGCTCATGATATAATCGCTCAAGCTGAATGAACTTCATTGCTTTCTCATCTGAATAGAAAAGTTCAGGAAAACAGAATCAAGGCTATTTAAATTATACCCATATCCGATGCAAGTGAGAAATTTGCATCTGATCAAAAATGACTCTACATACTTTTAAACTTAAGCACATCAAAAGAAAGTTTCTTGCTTTGAGGAAGGCACTTTCACTCCAGTGCATGAAGCAGTAGCTACCTGGGCGCCACACAGTCAGCAGACAGCAGTCTTAAAAGCTTTAAAGCTGAAGGAAGGACTGCTGGCTGATGTATTTCCAAGAGTCAACCTGAAGTAATTCCATTGGAAATGGACCTTCTTGGAATCTATGTTTTCCTTTTAAATTTCTCTCTTTAAATGACTTCTGTTGAGCAATTATGTGACCCTCTGGGCAAGTGTTTGTTTCTGGTTTCAACTCACCTTGGCCCTTTCCTTATTTCTCACTGAATGCTTTTCTCAAGAGCAGAGTATCATATGCCTAAACAAGGAGAGGGCAAAAACATACATGGATCTTTGTAAAGATTTAATTAACTTGCCACAGTGCTTTTTATAATTATCATGAATTCCACTTTTTTGCAGCTCTTATGTCCATTTGCTATCCCATCTGTGCCACACACATTTGTATCTTATGAGGTCAAGGACACTGTCTGACTGCCTACCTTCCTCTAGGCACTGTTCTAAATGTTGACCCAGAAAAAAAGAGAAAAACTCATGGTTTAGCTTTCTGTCCTTCCCACAACACTGAAGGTTCAGCTCTCCCTCGTTCACCATCTTAAAGCTGTCTCTGCGACCACACAGGAACAATTCCTGTTCTCTCTGTCTGGGACTTCAGTAGACCAGTGTGTCCCAAACTTTATTCAATGTAAAATGACCTGGAAAACTTTGTAAGACAGAGATTCCTGGGTCTGACCCCGGAAGCTCTGATTATGAGGCCTGTGAACCTGCATTTCTAAGAAGCTCCCAGGCTGCCTCGGGCCCGCACTGCACTGAATCACCAACTCATTGCTCGGCTGAGAAGCAAACTGCCCCGTGTGAACTTGTACCTTAGTCTGCCCGACACACTCAGGCCAAACACTGTGTACCCTAAATCTGGTCAGAAATGGGGTAAAGGTCAACAAGGCAGGAAGAAAACTAAAGGACACTAATGAGAATGCTTGGGACACATTCTGTCTGCAGAGTATATACTGGGCCATCCCCCAAAAGAAAAGCAATTTTTGTAAAAGGAAACTGGAAAAGTAATAAATTTTTCTTAAACAAAAGTTAATATGAAAACTTATATTCTGTTTATGACTAGGAAGGAACTATCTTTCCTTTGCAGCTACTCATGAGCCATATACATTGTCAGCCATAAAATTACCTTGCCTGGTAAAGCAGTAACAGTTTTAGCACGCTGTCTGTGCAATAACAAAACCACATAACAGTGCATTTCTTTCATGGAGCTGTAATAGGACAGTATGAGATTTGCTATGTCAGCACGCCTGACATGCTCTCCTCTGTGCATACTGCTTGACTTCATGTGCTTACGAGAAAGAAAACCAATAGATTTTTAAACTATAATTTTTCAGCAATGCATGCGTTTTTCCCTTCTCCTGAACATAAATATTTAAGTTTGGTAAAATGAGGGCTTGTTTGTGGATGGTCATAGGGAGGTGGTGCTAGAGAATTTTCTGGAGTGACATATTGCTGAGTGGTTCCAAGGGTTCAGGCACCTATTAAAAGACAAAGCCAACTTTTGAAAACAGCTGATTGAAGCCACATGATCTGGATATTTCTTGCACAGACCTCAATTTTAAAGATGGTGGTTCTTTAAGAGCTATGTGAATTTTGTCTTATAATTAAGAAAAGGATACAGTCCTCTTCCTGGAAATAGGACTCTGCTATCTGTTAAAAACAGAAAACAGAAGAAATTAAATGAATATTTGGTGGAAAAACAAACTTGGAAGAGATGGAGAGCTTGAAACCCTGACTGTCTGATTGAATCTGACAGAGCTCTTAGGCAACTGCACTCTCCATTTTTCGAGAGTGCTGCGGCATAGGACACAGTGCTGGAGTCTTCCTCATGTCCAGCAAGGCAAGCGCAGGTCTTCCTAACTGTGCTCCATCCACTGTCCTTCAAGTCAAGTGAGCTTCCCTTATTCCTTAGCATTTCGAGGTAAGAACCCTGTGCGTGAGGCTGATGAAGGTGTGACACAAATGGGAAGAGTATTCTGCTTATCATGAAGTGAAAAACAGAAATATTTCACTTCATGTGAGACCTGCGCATCACGCTCATTTCACAAGCCACCACCTGAAGACCTCGTGGGACACTGACTTTTGGCTTATGTTTTGATATTTTTAAAAAGACCGGACTAATGGGCTGGGGATACAGTTCTGTTGGCACAGCATTTGCCCAGGGTGCATCAGGCCGTGGTTTCAATCCCCGCAACAAAAAAGAAAAGAAAGAGAACAGAACAGCAAAGAAAAAGCAGCAGGAAGAAGACAAATGTAGGCCAAGTGCTGAATTTATCGAGACTGCAGAGCTTATGCACCATAGGAACTCTGGCACAGCGTTCAGACTCGGAGCTGGCCCAGCTGAGGCCTGTCACTTATTCTCATTCTAAGGTACCTTGCTATTAAAAACAAACAAACAAACAAACAAAAAAACTCTGAGCCAGGTCCCTGCCTGTAGTCCCATCTATCTGAGGCAGGGCTGGGGGATCAGTTGAGCCCAGGAGTTTGAGGCCAGCTTGGGCAACATACCAAATAAACAAATAGGAAAAGCTATTTTATTCTAAGAACTTTGTTTTTTAAGTTCCTATTTTGACACAGTATTTATGAATACATCAGTAAAACTAAAAAGTATTTACTGATAAATACTTGCATAACTGCTATCATATTTAGAATATGTCACGTCAGTACTTTATACTTTTAAAACAGTTTTCCTTGATTGTCACCAGGTATCTAGAAAAGGCATTCCACAGATCCGTCTCCACCTCCATTTTCTAGGTAACTGCTGATACAAAGAGCAACGAAGTACCTGCCAAAGTGACAAACCAGCAATAAAAAGGAATGGTGTCTCTCCACACCCAGCGGAGACAGTGTACTTGGGAAGGAAAATACTGCCTATTAAATCTGTTCTACAGAGGAAACTTCTCCACGAGCAATGCAGAGGACAGGAGTCAGTCATCTCTGATACACGTTTATCTAATCTAAAACAGGGCCCACTTGTACGTTGTGTTAAGGGCTGAGTGCAGGGCAAGCTGTCTATTATTAAGCTTTCATCAGCTCGTATTCTAATATGTTATACAAGTATTGGTTTGAACTAAATCAAATTGCCAGTGTTAACTATTTTTTGAAATGAATAAAGAGGACTTCATGGGGTGGTGCAGTCAGTGGTTTAGCAGGTGACTATGGGCACAGTGGGAGCTGTGACTTGTAGTGCCCACACATTTCCATGGTGTCTGTACTCCCATCGTGGCTGCTTTGGAGCTGCCAATGTGACGGATGTCAGTGAGCGTGGTCATGGTGAGTTGGCACCTGCAGGCCACAGCATACCTCTCCAATGGAAACCTGGTGAAAGTAAATGGCACTGCACACTGTTCCCCTCCCAAATATGACGTGAGATACAGTTTCAGGCTGCCTTTAAAATAAAATATCTGGCTCTTCAACGCCATTCCCCTTGCCTTTGTGCAGTACTACACCACTGGCTCATAATTTTTATCCTTTTTCTTGGGAGATATATGTGCAAGTACTCAGAGACAAAGTGACATACTGCTTGCAAATTAAACTAGTTCAGTAAGAAAAATGTGTGCGCGCAGGTGAGCAAAACAGAAAGATGAGCACAAAAATTGATGAATTTAGGTGAAAGGTACAGCATGACATGCTGGGAATTACTGAAAGAAATGAACTGTATCTCATCCACCCTGGCCTGTTGTCCTGTGGGAGGAGAGAGGATATCTGTATTCTTGCACTGGGGAGGCAGGTAAAGGCCCCAAGAGCCTGGCGTCCTGAGGACGTGGGCAGCCCTTTGACCCCAACCCTTCTTTCTAACAGAATCTTTGAATTGTGATGGTGAGGAGAGTTGTAGTGTGTGACATTCACTTGGATTTTACTGCACACCAAACACCACACTGAGTGCTTTTACACGCTAACTCATTAGGAAGAAACCACAGCCATTCAGCGCATCAGCGGCAGGGCAAAGCCTTCACTCTGAGCCAGTGCCTTGCCCTCGCTGTGCTTCCCAGGAGAAGCTAGACCGCTGACATCCTTAGGACTCACTGTCTAGTCTGTGTCTGGGAGAGGGGAGGCCTGGTCAAGATTGCTCCTTGCCTAAACACCTGTTTTTGTTTACTAGATTGGCTTCTGTTACAGGGTCACCTGCCCATCAGGAGAAAGGGCCATTCTGACCTCCACTGTAAGAACAGCCTGCACTTACTATTTCCATCTCTGTCTTCAATGTCCCTTTCCTGTCCTTGGAGATCATCCAGAGGATTTCAAAGAATTGGAAAGTCAACATTCACACCTTTCTCCTAGACTTGGCAATGACTGACATTTTGCCAAATTTACTTTCTCTGCCTCTCCTTCTCTTACATGGTTTTTTCCCCACTGGCAAAAAATATTTTCTTTCTTTTTTTTTTTGAGACAAGGTCTGCTCTGTAGTCCAGGCTGACTTCTAACTCCTGCCTCAACCTCCCAAGTGCTGGGATTATAGGTATGTGCCACTCTGCCAGCCTTCCCACTGAAATATCTGAAGTAAACCCAGGCATTATGTCAATTCACCTCCAAACACCTGTGACATACAAGAGCAACCTACAATGCCATTGTCCACTCTGGGAATGATACCTCGACACAATACTATTGATATGCAGCCTACACTCAAACGTCCCTGGGTTGTCCTAAAAGTAGATGCATTGAATGGAACAAATTCTAGCACCAATGCCACAAAGACTTCACTTTGAGGGGAGCCTCAACTGCCCCACTGTGGACAGATGATGACAGAAGTCGCTGGGTAAGGGCATGGGGAGGGTGGAAGAACAGTAACTGTGAACATCCTTCCAAGCTGGGCATAGTGGTTCACATCTGTAATCCCAGCCACAAGGGAGGATGGAGGAAGTAGGATAGAAAGTTCGAGGCCAGCCTAACCTATGTAGGGAGACCCTATCTCAAAAAACCAATAAAAAAGAAAAAAAAAAAAAAAACAACCAATACACCAAAAACAAACCCTTGCAAGCTCAGCCCACAGCTTCCAGGGCTGAAAACGGAAGGCTGTGCTGGTGCTGGTGGACCTGCACACTGGCAAGTCAGTGCTGCCTTGGAGACCACGCATCAGTACACCTTTGCTAAAGGTCTTCCTCAAAGCCACAGAGGAGGTGACACAAATTTGTACAAATACACGTTTTCCTTCCTCGAGACAAAGCTATTTTACTTTTTAAAAATAAAAATTAGGGTTGGTAGAGTGACTCAAGCAGTAAGAGCTCACCCTAGCAAGGGTGAGGCCCTGAGTTCAAATCCTGATGTTGCCAAAAAGAAAAAGAAAAATTATTCCTTCTGAGCATGCTGGCTGGGCTCTGCCTTCCCCTGCCTCATGCCTTCACACCTCCTGGGCAAGTCATTCACCTGGTTTGTGCTGCTGAATTTTCCTAGAGAATTCTCCACTCATGTATCTGCATAACTACTGCTCTTGCTCCTTGGTGGTGCACCCAACGATGTTCCTGTAAGAAGTCTTCCCCAGTGGCTGGCATGGCTTTTGCACCTAGCTGGCTTAGCTCACTCAGCCTTTGCTGGATTGACTCTGTGCACAGACAAATTACTGAACAGAAGGAGTTGGCCACTGTCCAAACTATGGATTCTCTAAGTCAAGGAGTGGCCCTTTCTCCTGGTTAAAGCAGACTCAGTTTTGGAGAGTTGGGCTATGGGAAGGGAGGGCTTAGTGTAGTACCTGATGCAGGCAGAGGGGAAGTGCTCTTGAGTCCAACTGCTCAAGCCCACTTTGGATGAGCGAGAACAGAGGCTGCAGAGTGGACTTCGGAACCTCCGGAGGGTCATTAGCATTCTCTCCAGCGACTTCTTCCTCCCCCAGAGCTTGAGTGGCTGCACTCGGCATCTTCCCCTGCATGAAACATGTATCTCCTACAGAAAGTGAAGGAAGCACCTGCGTTAGGAAAACACCCATCACAGGGGAACACTAAATCAACCAGAAAACTTTCAAATAAAACCACTGGAAAAAAAAACCCAGAAACCACCAGTCGTTGTCTTCATTAAAGTCATGTCGACATCTTACTGCTGCTATTAGCAAAAATGTAAGCCACTTCTGTAGAATTATAATCAGCAGTATTAATAAAAAGAGATCCAAAGACGGGTATGCAGGTTAAAACCTGACCAAAAGCCAGGCATGGTGATCCTGGCACAGGAAGGCTGAGGTGGGAGGATCATGAGGTGCGAGGCCAGCTTGGGCTATATGGCAAGATCTGCCTCAAAAGAACAAAGAAACAAAAAAGCTGACCAAAACCTTGACTCTCCTAAAGGAGAACTAGATCAGTTATAATTTACATCTTGGCTGGCCCCAAAAAAAAAGCTGAATAGGAAGGTAAGTTGTTACTCTGTGAAACAGTTGATGACTTTGAGCCTTTCTCTTTGAACTATGATCTGATAACATAAGAACTATTTCCAGATCCCTGGAGAGTGGGGAGGGGAATTCACATGCCAGAACGATTTGCCACTAAAATGTTTTTCCTACTAAAAACAAGTTACGCAAACCCCTAAAAAACCACTGATAAGTAAATCCTTGATCCTTATCTCCTAAAATGCACCAAATTTTTACTCATTATAAACTGTAACTTCACCAAACTTTCAGTATGAGTTCCAATTTTCATGTTTAAATCAAATATATCTGCCTGTGTTCCTTCAGCTGGTCTGTCTAGAAGGGACCTTTCCAATAAGGAGCACACCCACACCCACGCGGGCTGCCCCACCTCTACTGTGTGCCCAGAACCCTGCCTCCTCTGCCCTCCACGGAGCTCACTGCTCTGCTCTGGCCAGGCTGGTCCTTTCTTCTTCTCCCGAGTGAAATTCTCTGTGCCTTTCTGAGCAGCTACAGATTGTAAATGCTGACATACTTCCTTCCCATCTATGCCTGCCCATGTTCCAGCCTAACAAACTGTGCTTCGTTCCCTGTAAAGTGGCCCCAATGTCCACCTGCTTTCCTCGGAACGCTGGGTGTGGCCTTGTATCATACCTGGTTGTCTTACAGTAAGTGGTGACTCTCATCTTTATTAGCTCATAGCTCTGCAGCACAGGGTTAACCTATATATGTTACCACTTTCATACGGCACTGTCTTCACTAAAATTCCCAGAGTTACATTTCTTTAAAAGAATCAACTACATTGACTTTGGAGAGCTCTAGTCCACACGTTCAGTTCAGGTGGCCCTAGATATACGAGACAGAGGTGACTTGCCACTTTGCAGGGACATAAGTGATTGTTTTTCTTCCTAATTTCTAACCACATGGTAGTAGGCCCAAAAGAGCAAGACATGGTACCAGGAGCTTTGTATAGAGGACTACAAAGAAAGGAAGAGGCCATGTTCCCCCCGCCCCCAGACACAATACCATTCCCAAGACATTTGATCTCACACCCAAGGTGACAATACCAGCTTCTCATGTGCTATTCATCTCAATTAAATTCTTCCCACGTAGTTAAGAAAGTATTACTTCATGCTTCTTTTTTGCTAAGAAAAAATCAGGTTGGCGGTGGGGGTGAGGGTGTCTCAAGTAGTAGAGTGCCTGCCTAGCAAACTCGAGGCCCTGAGTTCAAACCCCTGCCTGAAATTTCAAAGTGCTCATTTTCCAGTAAAAGGGAGTTCAATAGATTTCTTGAAGACTATTACCAAAAAGAAAGGGCCCCAAGGGTAGGAATAAAGGACAGAATTGGTGGCTCTTTTTTCTAAAAAAGGTCATAAAGGGTCCTAAGATGGAAGTGGAAACTTGCCGTCATTACCTCAGGCATTCAGTAAGTACAGATTCCTAAGGGCAAGATCCCTGCTAGATCCAGTAATCTGAATTACTCACCATGTATGGACAAGGCTACACTGCTAAATAAAGTTGTATGGTTAAAAAAATGTAAGTCACAAAAGACTTAATCACAGAACACAACCAACAGGGATCCCAAAGGCCTACATAAGTCTAAGCACTAAAAGAGAAATGAAAGCTAAGACAGGCAGAAAGAATATGCCAAGTGTGGGGAGGGAAGAAAAAACACAGCCTTCACCCAGGCTCCAATGGGTCACTGCAGATGGGCCAAGAGGTCAACAAAACTTCTAAGACTCACACCACAAAGGGACACCTGCTAGCCATGAAGATCACGAGTTTCAGAGATAAATGAACTGCAGCACCACCTCACCTAGAGACAACCTTCCTTGATGGGACAGGATGTAATATAAACCAGACAGCACAGACCAGTAGCCGTGGACTTCAGTTTTGCCGGTTCTTCCAACTGACCTTGGTTGGACTAGACATTTCATTTCATTCCCTGTGCTACAGGGTCCTAAGGGACAGGCCAGAGAAGCCCCTGAATCCTCTTAGATCTGACCACCTAAAGCCTTCAAGAGCCTCATGCAGATGGTGGTAATACAAACAGATGGACTGGCTGAGTGGTTCAAGCAGGAAGGGCATCTGACTAGCAAGTGTGAGGCCCTGAGTTCAAACCCCAGTGCTGCCAAAAACAAAACAAAACAAAAACCAGACAGATGAAGATAAAGGTCTTGCCAGTTTTATTTTAAATTTTCAGTCATGAGGGCTTGGCTGTAGCTCAGTGGTAGAGCATTTGCCTAGTGTTCAAGGCCTTGGGTTCCACCCCCAGCACTGTACACACATGTCTGTGCACATAAGAAATAGAAGGGAGGAATATAACAAGGTTGTGAACAAGCTTGAGCAATGATTTAAGGAAGCTGAAGGCAAGGTCACCCCAAGATAGAAGTATGTTCTAGTGTGCCTACAAACCTCTGTTCCTCCTTTGCTTAGATTGTGGTTTTTGGTCTTACAAGAAGAGTTCCACAACATTTAATACCAAAGAACGGGCTCTGTTCCCAGCTATGCCAAGCTTTTGTAGTAGAATTGTATCATGGCTTAATCACCATGCAAACTGTTACGTGTTATTAAATACCACGGATCCACTTAACCGTGGGTACATCTAAAAGAAGACGGCCAGAGTTGGCCATAATCTAGCTGCATGGAAGTGCAGATGCCCCAGGATGTGGTGTTAGTAGTTTCACAACATTAACGGGGTAAAGCACTCACCGCAGAAACAACCCACACCCAAAGAGCTACAAGAGGGTGCCAGTGGCTCACACCTGTAATCGTAGCTTCTCAGGAGGCAGAGATCAGGAGGATTGCAGTTCGAAGCCAGCCTGGGCAAATAGTTTACTAACCCTATCTCGTAAAAAACCCCTTCATTAAAAAAAAAAAAAAAAAAAAAAGGTCTGGTGGAGTGGCTCAAGGTGTGTAGGACCTGAATTTAATCCCCAGTACTACAAAGAGCTACAAGAAGAAGGACACGGCCATCAGGAAAGCCTGCTTCCCGCGCTGATTCCCGGACTTTTGCCAAGTTATTTAATCTCTCTGATTCCCGGGCTCTCCCCTTTGTAACCTGCAGAAAATGACAGCTACCTTGTAAGGTTACTGTGAGGAGTAAATGAGACAGAGCACACGGAAGGCAGGCGTGCGCCCAACCCTCAGCCTGAAAGAGGCTTCAATGTCACTGGAGTAGAAAATGTCACAGGACAGGTAAAATACTTCTGAGGTGGTTCAATTTTTTTTTTTTTCATTTGCAGTAAAACATTCGAAGGCAGGGGAAATAAAGCTGATATTCTTAAAGCTATGGTGAATAAGAATTCTGAGAGCCATGTTGGAGAGTAAAAATGCTTCAGTTACTCATCAGTATGGTCTGCTTGAACACGATGGAACTTGTTTGTTTTTGCTGAACACAGTGTGCAGCACTTCCAGCTTGGCTCCTTTTACTTAGTACTCGGCATGTAAGTTTCCTCCACAGCTTTTAATGGCTTAATGACTCATTTCTTTTTAGCCCTGAATAATATTCCAGAGACTTGTTTTTAATGAGGGCACAAGAAAATAAACACTAACATAATCATGAGTACTCAGACCAATACGTTGTTGTGAACTGACTCCTTTATAATGTACTCGAAGCTTTTAAGATAATATTAATTAAGAATTCATAATACAACATTGAAGTTTTGGTATTTTTCCATGTGGATTTCAAGATAATTTTGATGCCACATAAATTCCATAAAAGTTTTGCTTGAGAAAATAAATCTAATTATATTTCATGGGTTAGTATTAAAATTTCTTCTGATACATACAAGGTTTTCTGATAAAATTACATTTATAGTCAAGGAAAACCAAAGCCGGGTGCCGATGGCTCACACCTGCAATTCTAGCTACTTGTGAGGTTGAGATTGGGAGGATTGAAGTTCGAGGCCAGCTTAGGTAAATCGTCCTTGAGATCCTATCTCCAAAATAACCAGACCAGTTGGACTGGAGGTGGCTCAAGTGGTAGAGGGCTGCTTTACAAGTACGAAGCCCTGAGATCAAAACTCCAGTCCCAGCAAATAAATAAATAAAGTAAATGAAAAGCAAACCAAAACATGAATGGCCACATGGAATTTCTCTTTCAATATGAATACAGCTTTGTATTGCCATGTATGAATCCATACAGTCAAACAAAAACAAAAAAATTCCTGTTTACTTTCTCTCTTAAAACCAGATGAGGGCTGGGCACTTGGTTCAAGTGTTAGACCACCTGCCTATGGCAAGTGCAAGGCCCTGAGTTCAAATCCTAGCACCAAAAAAAAAAAAGTAAAACCAGAGGAGTTACAGTTAAAACTGGCCATTAAGCAACATGGTGATGCTATTTATAATTTTTATGGACAGTGACAGGCAAATTCATAATCCCCAATTTAACTTCACACCTGTCAACTTCATCAAGCAGTGAAGTACGAGAGCTCAGTTGACAAGCACCTGTTGAGGTTTTATTTATTTATTTTGCCGGTACTGGGGTTTCAACTCAGGGCTTCGCTCTTGCTAGCTAGGCAAGGACTTGCTTGAGCCATCCCCCCAG